TTCGGAGGTGGCGGTCTTCTTCCTGTCCCCCTTCCCCCACATTCTCTTTCTCCCCTCCCCACTATTTCCTGGACCCTTTCTCCAGACAGCTACCATCCTTAGAAACTGTGTGTCTGACCTGACTCCTTTGTCACCTGACCCTCTTTCATAAGCATAGAAATTGCCTATCACTTGCGGAAGCTTGGCCATTTTCTTAACGGCTTTCTTTCCTATTCCAAAGTGGTGGTTGGAAATAGCCAGTTATGGTTGGTTGTGTCAGGGTGAACTCAGGCAAAGATTATCTGGGGAATGCATGACTGCTTTAAGGATCCTTAGAGATCTGGGCAAATAAAGAGACTGGGCGAATTTCCAGGCAGAATGAGCAACCAATGCAAATGGACATTGCAGAGGAGACCGTGGCAGGGGCAGGAACCTCAAGTGATCTGCAGAATCGTGGCAGGGAGGAGTTATCTCAAGGGCATCCTTGCCCAGAAGGTGGCCCAGAGTCTGAAAGCTGCAATGTTAGAGAGTCCTTTCTGTCTCATGAGACTATACTTTTCCATTCTGGAGCAGGAGGTGGTTCCACGATGCTGAGACAGTAGTAGACACGAAGTGAAGTAGGAGACCAACAGACGGGCAGTTGATTGGTGGCAACCTGATAGGAAAACGCCCTGAATCCTGTCTTTAAGTGAGGAAGTGTGGGAAGGGAGGAATGGAAAGAGCGGGTGTTCCCTTGAGGAATACACTTCAACTTGGTTTTTCATTATGCCATCTGATAAAGTTAAGTAAAGGCGCTAAGCCTTTGGCTACCATCTACTTTCGGGAATATAGGTTGGATATTTTTGGTGCTGGGGTGAAGCCTAGGCGTGGCACACGGTAGGCAAGGACTGTAGTACTGAGCTGTGTACCTAGCCCTGTTTGTTTTCTTCCTTTTTGTCTTGAGACAGGGCCTCACTAAGTTGCTCTGGCTGACCTTGAACTCACACTCTCCTAGACCTTTAACCTTTTTCTCTTGCCTCGGCCTCCTGGACGGCTTGGTCAGTCAAATAGTTCAAATCGTGACTGTTTAGTACACAGATCTAAGACCACAGCTCCTCCTTGCCCAGCACTCTGCCTATGTTGTTTCCTATGAACCACGACCTGTGGTGGCATTTTTGTCACTATGGTCCGACTGTCAGAAATGCAGGTCTGTGAGACCAGACAATATTATTCTGCTTTGGTTTTAAACTTATTTATGGGACGGTTGAAACTTACTGTGGGACAGATGGATCATTCCATTCCCCTTTAATGCCCCTTTCAAACATGCATGCTGATTTAATCCCAGGAAGACAACCTGTGTCCATTTCAGGTCGTTTTCAAAGGTGAGATCTTTTTTCAGTGATGTTTATGGTGTCGCACTGCGACGCCTGCCTGGTCTCCAGGTGGGAGCAAAATCCACTCTTTTGAACGTTTTGGATCTAAGATGCAGCAAAGGGCAAGGTCTAGAAAGCTCTGTGCTTGTGTTTGCCTGATCTCAAGGCCTGATTCTCATCTGTCTAGGGCCAAGGCCATCCCATCCCATAGGAGCTACAGTTCACAGGAGTTGCATGTCATTCCTTGACTCTCTTACATGGAAGCTTCTGGAAGACACGAGCAACTTTTATAAGCGGTTTCATTTCTTTCCAATGGTGTTCCAGAGACTTCCAGTGAAGTTAACCCCTAGCATCCTCAGAAAGGTTGCAAGTGTTCAAAGGGGGCTGGTAGGCTTATCCTGCTTTTTGTGTGTGCTGACTGTAGAGGAAGCTGTGTTACTGACGTGTAGGTAGCGCCTGAAATTCTCTCTTCCAACTCAATCCAGTTGGACACAGACCATGAGACTACCTGTGATGATCAATCTTGGTTGCTATCCCGACACTCCTGGGAATGAGGGCTCTTCAGCTGAAGTGCTGTCTCTGATGTACTGGCCTGCAACCATGTCTGTAGTGAGTTTCCTTGATTAGTAATTGATGGAGGAGGGCCGGATCCTGTGGGCAGTACCCTCCATAAGCAGGCTGGCCTAACTTGTACAAAAAGGTAGCTTCATTTGAGCCTGGAAGCAACCAGGCAAAAGCCATTTCTCCTTGGTTGCCACCTTAGTATCCGCTCCAGGCTCCTGCTGTAGCTTCCTTTGATGATAGATTATAATCTATATGATGAAATATGCTTTTCATCATGGTGTTTGTCACAGCGACAGACAGCAAACTGGAACACTCACCTTCCACGGAACTAGAAACAATGTCATGAATTCGCCTTCCTCCACTTTCCTTCAATTTTCTATTTTAAGAAATTTCTGAAAATATATGAATTATGCAGCTTATCTCTCCGATGAAAAGGAATTTTCTGCTCGGATTGAATAACTCCATATTTATTAATAGCAGTAAAGATTTCCATGTTCTTTGTATCCAATGGAATGCTACATAAAATACGAAGGAGCCATCCCAGCAAGGATAGCAGCTACAGGAGAATAATTATAAAAAGCTATATGGAATTGAAAGGCCCTTTAATTTGTCATCACTTCTCTGCATTCAGAAAGGATCTGAATAATTATGCCAACTATAAAGGGAACTGAGTGATATTTTTCCTCATTATGAGATTAAATCCTTAATAGACCACTTTCGCTATAAGTTAAAACAAAATTCCCCACTCGTCTGGATTCCAAGAACGACGCAGTCGGGATTGGGGACTGCTTGCTGTAGATGTGCTTTAGACTCCTGATTGGTACCCACAGATGTGCGATCCAGGCTCATTTTCATTTGAAAAACGTTCATCTCCACAGTTTATGGAAATGGAATTATACTTGCCTGCTAAGTATGAACTTTTGGCCTTTAGGTTACATTAATTCATGCAGTTGACAAGGGCAGTAGGATTTCCTTAGGTCATGAACTATCAGTGACGGAGACCAAACGTGAGATTGTTTTCTTTGTAGGGGAAGTATTTTTAAACACGGCTGTGGTTTCCAAGGTCATTTCAAGGCCAAACTTCAAAGCCATTAGACAGAAGAAAAAGTGTGGAGCCGTCTTTTCTGTGTGATTTGCATTATACTGACAGCGTGCTAATCCTTACTTAGGTGATCAGAATGTTCAACAGAAGCTTTTTTTTTTTTTTGAAAATGAGGTTTTGTATATGAGTGAAAGTGTTTCACTTCGTAGATGTTGAACATTTTCATTAGCTTGCGATCAAGGCATCTGACTCTCCATACTGAAAGATGCTATCCAAGCTGCTGTGGTGGTATCCTAAACAGTGTGACTTCTCTGTGAACCCTGTTTACTGCAATAATAGCCAGCATGACAAGATATGCCCATAGGTGTAATAGTCACACAAATGTTAGTGGGGTAACCATCTGCTTTCTAATAGGATGTAAAGCCCACTCCATGGGAGGAAACTCATGCCTGCTACTGAAATGTGGTCAAGAATCCACAACTGGGGAGCTCACGGGCCCTAGGGGTAAATCCTCTTAGTGTCGTTTTGCTAAATGGACGTTGTGTCAAGCCCATCTTCTAAATTCATGGGTCTCTCTCTCTCTAGTTTAGTACAGCTCTCATATCTTATCAGAGACATGACTGGAGTGCTCAGCCACCATAAGGACATTTCTATCATACCTCATCCCTAAGACTCAAGGGCCATCATGGAAGATAGGACAGGGAGATTGCAGGAGCTGAAGGCCAGTATAAGCTGCACACAATTTCTTACATAGAGGTGAGATCCTGGGTCTATTCCCACTTTTCAGAACTGGGACCTCATCTGGCTCTAACCTCTGCAGACCTTGCAGATGCTGCCACTATCTCTCTGAACATCTGGAAGATGCTGTTTCCTTGGAGTCCTCCATCACCTCTGACTCTTATAATTTTTCTGCTTTCTCTTCCACTTGGATCCCTGAGCCTTGAGTGGAAGGGTTTGATAAAGACATCCCATTGGGACCCAGGTGCTCTAAAGTCTCTAACTCTGAGCATTGCTCAATCGTGGGTGTCTTTGTTAATTCTCACCCACTGCAAGAAGCTTCTCTGATGCAGGTTGATCTGTATGGGTAGCAGTATGTCATTAGGATTCATTTTATTGCTGTGTTCCTTTGACATACCAATAATATTGGGCTTTCCTATAAGTCTGTTTAGTTCTTGGCCATTTTTAGCAGTATCAGGTTATAGGTTACATCTTATGTAGTGAGCCTTAAACCCAACAGGAGAGACAGTACCTACAACCAGACACATTTCACTACCAAGTTACGGCTCTGGTGCCAGGTGTGAATCACTTCTTGTTGAGTGTTTGACCAAAGGAGTCCCATGAAACCCCCTAAGCATTACAGACTATTTTAAAAGCTGTTGGTTGCGTTCTACAACCTGATGGTAAAGACTTATTGCTGAAGACAGCACTCCATTATGAAACCAAACATGGTAGAGTCAAGCTGGTGCCCAACTAGGAGTTTTACCCCTAATAACCAGCTGGAAGGTGCTATGCAAGCTATCAAAGGAGAACGGACATCGATATCACCCAGCTACAAACCATTTGACCTACAACAGCAGCCTATCTGCAAGGTTTACTAGTGCAATAGTGGCACAAATGTTATGGAAGGAATCAACCACCTTTGGGCATCTGTTGCTTTTATATTAAGATCATTTGGAATGGAGCAAGTATCTGGATTGAGTGTAGAAGTGCAGATTCTTCGCAATATGGAGATGGCATTGATAATTCAGCCATTACATAATACAGATTATTTAATCTCCTAAAAGAATCACTATAGAAGACCTGGGGAGATGGCTAAGAGGGTAAATGTGGAGAGAAATAAGGATGGAAACTTGAAGGTGTTCCTGACTGCCATATAGATGTGACACATGTGTACACACACTCTCATACTACATACACACACACACTAAAATGATTCACCAAATAAATTCAGCCTAATTTAAGTTTGATGGGATTGGGGTTGAAGGGAGGGAGAATGGGAGAGGGGAGTGCCAATGTGTATTATTATGGGGGAAAGTACCATTGTCTTCCTTTCTGTCTTACAGCCTGAAGAATAAGTAGTGAATGCATCAGTCAAGAGCTGAGAAGAGATGCCGGCATTTCTCTGTGGCAGAGAACTGCTCACCAACCACAAGAGGACCCTTTCTCGAGCAATGAACACTTCTTTCAAGGATGCACAGATTAACACATGACCCATCTTGATTTTTGGAAGTAGATAAGATTTCTTTTCTTCATTTAATTTAGTGGCAAATTATACTCGGATGAGTTTAAAGAATCCTTTCTCGGTAACATGTTTAGCACAAGTTCCAAACTGCAGTCACACAGCAGCTAGTTGGAGCATTCTTCGAACTTACAAAGAGTGGAAAAATTTAATTTCCTATTTATTCTAGATTTCCTTAGAGTCGCAGTGATTCCGTGAGACCCTTCATGATTATCATGTAAGTCTCCTAGATCCATTAACAAATATACTTTTGTCATCGCGGGGAACATAGTTGGGGACAACACCCACAGAAACAGAACAAATTGTGGCGTGTGGAAGTTACGTAACAGACAGACTACTGGTCCTTCCTGCTTCACACCCATGAGCCAGCCTTGTCTCTACATGCCAGGAGCATGAGAGTAGGTGGGAACAGAGAAGAAGGACCTTCACCCTGGATCACCTTGACAGAGAGCCTCCCAAGATTAAGCCAAGTTCTCCTTGCAAGCTGCCAGATCATAGCTTAGGAAAAGAATTAGTTTGATTGCATGATGATCCTATTAACTCAAAATGTTGCCGCCGCGGCTGACTTTGGTATGATGCTTTTCTAAAGGTATCTGGCAGAGAACTTAAACCCCAGAGTGAGAGGGAAGTAGTTCTTAAAAAGTTGGCCTGAATTGTGGGCTTTCATTTGGGACAGGGATGATTTGGGGAGAAAGTGACTAAATCCGAAAGAAGCTCTGTTCTTCTGTTTCTCTTCCATCGAGTTGCTGAGCTGGGAATCGGTGACTTGAAGAAGAAAGCTTCTGGGTAGAGCATGGGTGAGACCGGATGGAGTCTGAGTGCAACTGTAAAACTCCTCCCCCGGGGTTAATTGCTCTGCGTTGAGATGGGAAGGGGTGTTTTGTAGACACCACAAGGTAGATGCAGAACTTTCGTTCCTGGGCTGTCAGCTGGCTGGAGCAGCCCTTTACACCTTGTGACCACCAATCTAATGAAGTCGGACTTTTCCAGACGTCATTGCTTTCCACGGAGATCTGAAGTGGTTACAGCCAGTGAGCAATACATGAGACGACATGGATGTACAGTGTTGTTCTTAAGGTGCCTGTTTTGTTGTGTGAGGGGATCACAGTCACTGTGGCTGCGAAGAGGAAGGTCACACACCACGGACTGCTGCAGAGAGGAAGAAGGGTGTGGTGACACCAGTTTTATTTTGCTATTTTGGGAAGAAGCACACAACAGAGCTACAATCGCCCAGTGATGGCTCTTCTTCGAATGTGTGGGATAAAGCTTTATTTGTCGATTCTGCTGTAAAATAAGCATAGTCTGAGTTTTGTATTTTTAAATCTTTTTTTTTCTGTTTATGTTTTAGTGCCTGAGCTCTTTCCCCAAAGTGTTGTGTTTATTTCTTTTTCACGACCTAAGATAGGAAAGCCTAGGAACATAGATTCCCTTTGCGTTACAGTGAAGCCTTGCCAAGCCCTTTCTAGTTGAACTTCCAATAATCTGATTATTTCAGAGTGCCTCATCGAAATACCATTGCTCTTTGGCAAGCTGAGTCAAGCACCCCACCAGAAATTTTGTCGGTTTGATTGTCCTCACGTTTATTCATGCCCATGCAGATAAGGGGAGTTTCATTCCCGCACACCATGAGGACCACTTGCCCAGACCACATGATGCAGGAGGGCTCAGAAATGCCTCTGTATCCTGGGAACCATAGATTAGGAACACCTCTACACAGAAAACTGCTGTGCACTGTTCCTTTGGTGTGGCTGTATGTTTAATTAAGTCTTATATTACTTTCTGATTTTATTGTGGGTAGATGGGAGTTGGATTTAGGGCAAATGTTTTCAAACGGCCAGTTAATTCTGCTGGAAAGAAAACAGACACATGCTGCCATTACTCTGGACACCCTGGAACATGAGGAAAAAACATACTCCATTAACTCTGTATTAAACCGAGATATCTATGTTCAATAGGACAGTCATTGATGGTTGATATAGTCAAACGTCTCTTTCTCTTCTCTTCCCATCCCATGACATAATCTCAGGAATTCGACATGCATTGTTCCCGTACTCTGCCACTGAACTCCAGCATAGCCCCGACTCCTCAGAGAACTAAATCACTCCTTAGTCCTGTCCTGGCAATACAATTCAAATTTGCTTTACAAAACGTTCTTCCCTTTTAGTGCAGAAATAAGCTGGAGGCTAGCTCGTGTGCCAGTGGCCACAAATGTCACAGCAGTGAGTCCCAGATTGATGAGCTCTCCTTATATACAGTCGCCACAGCCCGGCGAACTAATAAATATGCTCATAAAGCGATCCACTAAGCAGCAAACGCAGCAATGATCCCGTCTGCTGATAAAGTAGCCATAAAACTCATCCACTGCTGCTGGACTAGGAGACCAATAGGATGTGAACTTCCTTGGCCTCTTAGATGACATAGGAACATAAATTGGAACAGCAAGGATCTTCACACTGTTGGAGTAAGTTTATTAGGTCAACCATATCAAAAGGCAAGAACAATGGGCCGCATGTACAGCACTGACCTCCTGCAGAAATCCCACCTTTTGGTCAAAGCTGAGTGAGACTTTTTTTTTTGACAAGCCAGTGTGAATACAGAAGCTAAACCCAAGCCAGGTCGTAACCACACTCCCCACCAACCATCTGTCATTTACTTGATCAGCTTGTCCAACGAATTATTTTTCTTTTGTAAGAATAAAATTAAGGATCTGTCTGTTCCGCATATTATTATTGTAGGGATGGATCCCCTCCTCATTTCTGGTTTCAAATTTGTTCATATTCAAGGCATGTTAAACTACCTCATAGGTTTGTTGTGTGGATTAGCTGATTAATAAATAACTGCTTAAAATAACGAGTCTGCCAGTGCGTGCTGCCTTAGTGTTTTTCCTTGCTGAAGATCTGTGAGTCAAATCAACTGTGTGATATTTAAATTGGATGTGTAAAGGCCAGATGTGGTGGCTGCAGCTGCCATCTTTGCATTCAGGGAGCTGCCATCTGAGTGTGCCAGGATAGACTAAGTGCACAATCCAAGACTGGGAGATATACCACCAGACAACACCAAATAACGAGCAAGCAAAATCAAAACTTTATTAATTATTTTAAATTATACTTTTGTTTGTTCTTTTATGTATATGTTTGTTTGTTTGTTTTTTGAGACAAGGTCTCTCTTTGTAGCTCAGGCTTGCCTGGAACTGTCAATGTCCTTCCTTGCCCCACCCCAAAAGGCTTCTAAATTCTTAAAAAGAGGAGTCAACACTGGCCTTCAGAATATCCAACATGATATTATGGTAGTTGAAATGTCTGCCTTTATAGTAATTTATAGTAAAATTACAGTGGTTTTGAGACTACATCTCTCATACCATGTCTGTAGGTTCCTTTATATCTGGAGTAACAGGTACACACCCCCAGCTGCTCTGTGTGCTCCTTAGCACCATGAGGTCGGCAACACCAGTGAACATCTGCCTTAATTGTGCCGTCCTGAAAGCATGATAAATGCTATTGGCATTTAAGTGTGTGTGTGTGTGTGTGTGTGTGTGTGTGTGTGTGTGTGTAGGGAAGGGGATGCATGCCTGGAGACCAGAAGATAGCCTTGGATGTTCCTTCTCCGGCGCCATCCACCTTGTTTTTCAGACAGTGTCTCTCACAGCCTTGCCTTGATTGGCCCCTGAGCCCTGTGGGTCTTGCTGTTTCTACAGCGTTGGTATTTCAAGGATGTGCCACCCACACCCAGACTTTATCTCAGTTCTAGGCGGGGCCTGAATGCAGGTCTCTTTGCTTGTAGAGGAAGCACTTTGATAAGGAGTTCACCAAGTGGGCTGTCTTCATAGCTCTTAGTTTGAAAACAGCAACAACAAGCCCAGCAGCCTAAAGAGAAGGAAATGGAGCTAGGACTATCCAGCTTCCCAGTGACATCATCTGGAAACTCCATAGTAACTAGTTAAAAAGTAATTTTACTGCTGTCCCCACTTGGCAGCCATTTTCCTCTACATGATTAATTATTCCTTAATCGCTATTATGAGTAGAGGTTTTACATGCTAATTTCAAATGCTTCAACTTAATTAGTAATTCACTCTGACCTTTAAAACCCATACTCTGTAATCTTTAAATTATATGAGTAAGGGGAAAAAAATCTAATTTCTTCCAACTGCCATTAATAAGTGATCCACAACCTACTGTCACTCGGAGTCAGCTGAGGTTAGCCCAAGCCCAAGCTCAAGTTCTCCTGTGGTCACCAGAGTCAGTGAGGGCTAAGGGTGACTCAGCCTCTGAGAACGAGGTAATGCACACCCAGCACCTTTTTTACTTGAAGGAAATGAAAATAGCTGTACACAATAATGGCTTCCCTTATGATTCTCTTCGGAGGGTTCTCGGCACAGTTCCCACGGGAGATGCTGCTTTTCAAGTACTTTTTTAAGTAGCTGAATGTCTGGCAGGAAGGCCAGGAGTATCTCAATGGCTAAGGAAGGATCTGCTCTGAGATCATTCAGATTCTGTGTGTGTATGTGTGTGTGTGTGTGTGTTCCACCATCTCAAAACTGTCTTCGCTGTTTATCAAAACTGACTCCGTTGTTAACCAAGGCTGTCACATTAGTACTGGTGACTCTGTCGCTGGCAAGTCAAGAGTTGTTATTCTCTCTCCCCTGGTCCACTCCTCTTGGAGAAGTCTCTGAGAAGCTAATAATTGGGAGTGTAATCAGCTCCTCTAATATTACTAGCTCCATATGTGTGTAGACAAGGGTGTAGGAATATTTGCCTATTTTATCAATAATATCTCCTTGGCTGGGTTGAGAATAATGTAATGGAGGACGGCCATTGTGTAAGGAAGAGAGTTTCCACTCATCACCGAGAGAGAACTTGTCAGGTTCTGGGCGAGAGCAGACTGTGGGTAGAAAATGCCCTGCCCTGCAGGTTGCCAGTTCCACTCTCAGTACATGGATGGACTCGCACCTCTCGGCTCTGTATGCGAATGCTGCCAGCTAGCTCCTCATTTC